AGCCACTCTGGAAAACAGTATGGAGGTTCCTCAAACAGTTGAAAATAGAGCTACCATACGATCCAGCAATTGCCCTACTGGGTATTTACCACAAAGATACAAATGTAGGGATCCGAAGGGGTACGGGCACCCCAATGTTTATAGCAGCAATGTCCACAATAGCCAAACTGTGGAAAGAGCCAAGATGTCCATCGACAGATGAATGGATAAAGAAGATGTGGCATATATACACAATGGAATATTATGCAGCCATCAAAAGGAATGAGATCTTGCCATTTGCAACAACGTGCATGGAACTGGAGGGTGTTATGCTGAGTGAAATAAGTCAATCAGAGAAAGATATGTATCATATGACCTCACTGATATGAGGAATTCTTAATCTCAGGAAACAAACTGAGGGTTCCTGGAGTGGTGGGGGTGGGGGGGGGGGGGTGGCTGGGTGATAGACATTGGGGAAGATATGTGCTACGGTGAGTGCTGTGAATTGTGTAGGACTGTTGAATCACAGATCTGTACTTCTGAAACAAATAATGCAATATATGTTAAGAAAAAAAAAGAAGTTAGCAGGAGGGGAAGAATGAGGGGGCGTAAGTCGGAGGGGGAGACGAACCATGAGAGACGATGGACTCTGAAAAACAAACTGAGGGTTCTAGAGGGGAGGGCGGGGTGGGGATGGGTTAGCCTGGTGATGGGTATTAAAGAGGGTACATTCTGCGTGGAGCACTGGGTGTTATACACAAACAATGAATCATGGAACACTACATCAAAAACTAATGATGTAATGTATGGTGATTAACATAACAATAAAAAAATTAAAAAAAAATACATTAACCCTGGCTATTTTAAGTTTTCTTTCATTTACAGGTGGTTTTGTGTTTTACTCTGATGCTTCCCGAAGAACCTTTGCAAAAGCTGAGTGCTTTGTCTTTAACAAAAAAGGACTATCCTAGAGACTCATGGAAGTGGACCATGCCAAGTACTCTTGGGTACAGACTGCTGATGGCATTGCTTCAATAATTATGAGATCATACTAGTGGACTGAGTCAGGAGTCCCAGACTTTCGTCAAGAAGCAGGTGTGTTCATGAGATGACTAACCCAGATCAAGTGGAGCAAGAATTAATTACAAAGCACTGAATAAACTAGATGTACATGGGCTTTGCTTGGAACTGTGCTGATGCTTTAATGCTCTGTTTTCTGGATGTAAGGAACCACTCTCTCTTTTCTCTCAAGCTATCTATCCCTCATAACAATTTATTAGACTGTGTTCTTGTAAAGCAGAAATGAAACATTGATCTTTTCTGCCCTGACTCACCCGGTAAAATTTGGGGAACTCTTATTGAGGATTCCTGTTTTCGTGGCACCCTGGTTATTTGCATAGATTCAGTAGGAGTCTGTCCACCTTGTTAATAGGACAGAATTGGAAACACTGGTTATGCAATCAAGGCTGGCATTGCCTAGAATGTCACAGTTGAGAAGGATGCTCGTTTCATCAGATGTGACCAGACACTTTTTAGGAATTAAAGTAGACTGTATGGGGCCAATGCTTACAAAGTCCCTCTTAGGGAAGCTGGCCTGGTAACTGGCTTTACAGGGTTCCCAGCCTTATAGGTGAGCAAGGCAGGCTCAGGAATCTTAGGATATTTTGGGGACCTCAGGAAGAGAGGACTTCCCACCAAATCACTAGGTACTGCAGGTGAAAAATGATGGTGAAGTTTTGGCTTGGCCTTCCTATCCTTTCCTTTGGAAAAATCCAATCTGAGGTTCTTTATGAAAATGTCCAGCAAAGCAAATAGAAGACTCATGTGTTGACTTATCCTTGCTGCATCTGTGTAAACATGTCTAAAGAGACCAGCCTTGTTTTGTGATCAAGAATAATCTTTCTTTGAGATTGTCTTTGATCAAAAGGGGAAAAGGGACTGTAAGAGCATTTTGTGTTTCAGTGGGAACCTAAGCAAGCTCTTCTGGATCATGAGATTCTGACCCTATTCATTATCTTTGAGTTCTTTTGCACCTCTGTAAATTGCAGGTAACTGGTCAATATGCAAACTTTGTCTTGTCTGACAGACACTAATTAGCTTCCTTTCCCACTATGGATAAAGTAGTGTTGATATCTACTCATAAATCGGATTTGGATCTGTTACTTTACAGAGATTGTCAACCCTTACCAAATTTTCAATTCTTCCAGTTTCCTTCAATATCTGCCTACAGCCTTTCAAACTAACCTGTCCAACTTTTCTCCCTTCCTCCTCACTTCATCTAAACATGATTGCTACGATTACAACTGCAACTGCTCATGATTGCATGAACATGATTGTCCAGATCCTTATTAGGACTCTAAGTTGCCTTGTAACTGGTCTCCCCCCTCCAGGATCTAAAGAAACATTGCATCAGTCCTTGCATGGAGCAGATTTTTCCCTGGACAAGCTGCTGAGTGACTAAGAAAGTCTGGTGAAATGCTCAGGTCATGCATGCCTTCATAAGGGAAGTAACCCAGACTCTGGGCAACATAATTAAGAGCATAATACAACTCAGGGAACTGTGCTGCACAATCAAACTATTTCATCCACTGATCTCCTAGATTTCACTGGGCTGGAGAGTCTTAGGGTTCAACTTCTGGCTCTTTACTTTAATATATTCCTTTATATTAACATTTATCTTTTTCATTTTAGGCATCCCATTGAAGGACACTGAAACAACTGACCTTTGCCTGCACACCAAAATGATGGTAAACTAGCCTTCTTTCATTTTAGGCATCCCACTGAAGGACACTGAAACAACTGACCTTCGCCTGCACAGCAAACAGATAGTAAACTAGCCTTCTACTAGGGATATCACTGAGAAAATGCTGGCCCTCAGGTCTGTTTCACTCAGCCATCTCCTGTTTGAATTATTCCTTATCTCTGAATTATTCCTGGAGAGTCTCTCTGAGCCTGCCTTGAACAAGGAGAGGGACTGACAAGGCTGATGAAACTTTGTGCTTCACACGAGTTCAGGCTGCTTTGCTGAAGACCACTAGGTCCCAACTCTATGTACACTTTAGCTTGTTTACTTCATCTGAGACCCAGAACCCCAAGCCCATGTGCCTGAGCACAAACCAACTTTTCTGCCTCACCTTTTCTATTAGTACAATATTTGATGCAGTTCATTAAGTTCCAAGGCCCCTCCCACACACCAGCTATTGGCATGACATCATTCTTGTGCTTTCCACAAACACCTATCCCAGGGTCTCTGCTTACAGAAGCTTTGTTCCCACTCCCCTTGCCTGAAACTGTTTTGGCTCGGGCTTTGAGCATCTCTCTGTAATAGTCTTGTTCAATAACGTCTTTCTTTACTCGGGTCCAGACTTAACTTTTTTTTTTTCCTTGACAATTTCCTTGGCAAAAGATATCTAGGATTTGATTTCGGGAAGGTAAAATATAAAAAGCAGTCAAGTTTGAACACTTGATTAAATAGGATCATGGATTACTAAGAAATAAGAGCTGGTTATCTAGTTAACCAAAATGACAGTATAAATTTTAAAGTAGACATAGGAGGTATGTGACTATAAAGAACTTAAGTTATTTTTAAGTGAAAAGACTTTGTTCTCTCAAATAATTAAAGATATGACAAAATCAACAAGTGTAGGAATTATTCTAATAAGACCTGAATAGTTATTTTCTAGGCAGATTATTCTCAAGGTAGAGAAAAGTATTTTACAAGCACTTATTAAGAGAACTCCAGTAATCCAAGAAAAAATTGTCATTTTAACAGAGAGAAAACCAAATGCTAGTTTTGAAACAGCATATTTGGTACTAACACTCTTACTAAAAATCTTATAAATAAACTCGCAAACCTCAGCCAGCTTTGACTACAAGAAGTAAAATTCCTGTTCCGTGAACCATCTGCAACTTTGTCTATCCAAACAAGTTTTATCATACACTTATCTCTCTCTCTCTCTCTCTCTCTCATTTTGGAATGAGTTGTTTTACTTTGGAACAAAGCTTCTCTTGTTTTCCTTAACAAAATACCTCCTGCACACTTTGCATGCAAAGTTGTTCCTCTCTGCTCCTCTCACTCCTAATAGAGCCTCATTCACATATATTGATTCTAAGTTTTCACTACAGCCACTTCTATTGCATAGAGAAGACTAGGCAGTGGTGTAAGAGAAGAAGTATTTCCAGGGCATGTGTCAAAATGGCGAGGCAAATCTTATTAGAGCTACTGCAGTAGAGGAGAGAGGCTTCAGTGTAGCCCTGAGTCCCATTCTACACAGCACGGACAACTGGAGATCTACAGCCAAGGAGCTGAGTGAGGGGGTGAGTGGATAGAAAATTATTGAGAGGAACTTGTTTAGATACCAAAGTAAGGAGATTCTTGCCAAACTAGCTTAACAAGATTCTTACCAAAAGCAGGCCAGTGACTTAGATATCCAGGGCAGGGGATGAGGAGCTCGATCAAATATCAAGGATGATCAGATATAAAGGGGAGCAGTTGTCAATTAACTAGCTTAGGATTCTTTGGTAAAATGGGGCTCAGCAGGCCAAGGTCGAGGCTCATCTAGAAGAAGACTCACGGGAGCCTGACTAAAGTATGGTCAAGGAAGGAGTGCCTGTTAGTAAATAACTATAAACTGTCTTTCATATACCAGTATTTTCTAGCCGACTAGCAGAGCTTTTCAATATACATCTCGTAATTTTTTATAGCCATGAACATCCCTCACAGTATAGTGTCTCAATGTGGCAAAAATGAACATGGCCATTAACAGACCCAAATATATAGCCTCTCTGTATTATATAAAAACAAGAGGCAAAAAGTATATAAAAATGAAATTGTATTTAGCAATTAAGGCTTCAGTATTTTATCTTACTTAGATCCAATGTAGGTATCTAATGATTCATGAATTAGCTCAATTTAGCATCAGTCCAAGGTTTTAAGTTACCAGATGATTTTGGAAACTGTCTTCAAGCTGACATTCTACAAAACAGAATTATTTTTGAAATAAAGTTTGTCCAAATAATGACTTAATTTGACTAAATACAAATTTACATTTTTTATAATCTTAAAATATAGTAACTGAAATGATAGCATATTAAACCAGCACACCTTTACAAGTTGAGGAGAAACATGCCCAAGTAAAATAAAAATGTATGTTTGTATTACACTTAATGCTGACAACTCAGAAGATAAAGCTGTTCTTATTAAACCAACAATATTAAATTAGTCTCATTTGCCAAAGTAACCTAAATTATGTAAACTTGAATTCTTTGAACATTTGAGTAACTGCCTATAAGGAAGTATTTTGAGTATATTGAAAGTATTCAAAATTCAATTTTTTCAATATTTGAGAATTTTTAGGAATAGGCTCGTTTGTTTAAGACCTTAGTTAGCTCTGTGAATTAGAGTAGAGTTCTATTTAAAAATTTTGTGATCTAATTAATAATACCATCTGGAGGTAGGAAAATATTACATACCTATAGACACATAAACATACATCTAGATCTAGAAAACTTATAGCTTCAATTCCAAAATTTCAGTCCATACATCAGGGGTAAACCCAGAAATACAAAACTCCTTTCATATAAAAAGAAAATATGGCAAACTTCTGAGAGCACAGAGTTTTAATCTCTGTTAATCAACCATGAGATAAAGAACAAGAAGCTGAAGTGTCTGTTTTGCCTTGTCAGCAGATTCAGACGAAAAGAGGGAGTTTGCTGGGTTTTGTCACACGTGATCAGACCTTGTAGAAAAGAGTTTCAAGTGGAAGAAACAACAAAAGGAATGAAATTTCTAGTCACCCCTGAAGGTAGGCTAAGTCATGTCTCCTTCCTCAGCCCAGCACCCCCTTCTGCATGAAGTGCACTTACTTTGCATGCCCACCCCCCCACACACACCTCCTTACATGTAGCCTCTCTTCCTCTCTTAACACTTCTACTGACATCTCTCCATCTCCACTGATGCCAGCCCAATCACTCTATCACCTGATCCTTCAAGGCCACTTACTACCTCCTAAATGGTCTCCTGCCTTCCAGTCTTTTCTCCCACAATTCAGTTTCCATGGAGCAGTCAAAGCAAATTAAAGTGAAAATCTGATTTTTTACTAATCTGTTAAAGAAATTTCAATCTCTCCCAGTTACCCTTCCAAAATGGTCTATACTGCAGAGCAGAGCATTCAAGCTCCTCATGTTCTGACTCACTTCCTTTCTTTTGCCAACCCTGAGCAGACTCTACACTCCAGCTCTAGTGAACACTCCTAGTTCCCAAACACACCATGCTCTCCTCCATGTCTAGGTGCTTGCTTGTGTTTTCCCTTCAGCCTCCAGTGCCCTCTATCTAGCTAAGTCCTTAAAGCACATACACATGAGGTTTAGAGGACACATACTCTGGGTTTGTCCCTGACCCCACTTCTTCTCTCAGCCTTCCCAAATCTGAATGAACTGGAATTCCTCCATCCCCTACTCTCTTCTTTCTTAGCACTTACCATACCATTTTGAAAATTCCCCTTTCTTTGCCTGTTTCTGCAAATGAACCAGAAACTCCCTGTAAGTTGAGACCATGTGTTCTCTATTGCTTTTTCATGGCAAGGGGAGATGGGGGTTGTGGTAGTGAGTGGGCATCAGTGCCCAGAAGGCAGTGCCTGGGACACTACAATCATGCAGTGAACACTTGTAACATTAATAAGTGGGTGAACTTATCATGTGTCTTTATAGTTATACAATATAGTGGGATGATACGACACATCTCACAATTGTGTTGTGGAGACAAAACAAGCTTATGGAAAGCAATTAGAAAAAGCTAAAGACTATATGAGGTGGAATATGAAATAGAGTGATTTAGTTTTTAAAAACTGTGTCGCATTTCACAAAACCTAATGAACGTTAGCACCCACTAACCAGCCACCTCAGGGACCTGGATATGCACTGCTTTGGCAATTGCCTATCCTCACTCAAAAAAACAGGAAGGAATTCCTCCCAAGATCCTGATTCCTTCCATAGACAGTATCTGAGCAAGTTGCATGCTGACAAATCTGTTTCATTCCTTTCTAGTTAACCAAAATGAATATCCTCCTGGCTTTCCTGACAATGGGATGCATTCTCCAAAATCAAATTTACAATTACAATGATCTTGGCACCACACAGTGCCCTGTGCATACACAAGACTTGATAAATACTTGCTGAATCAGTGACTTGCAGAAGAGCTTCCCACCACTTTGGGAATGATTGTGATTTCCCTAATTTCCTTGTTTTTCTTCTGCTGAAACATTCTGCTTGCAATACCACTCATGATTATTCAGACCAGTCAAAAGGAAAAAAAATTTTTTATCCTGACTAACCATATTCATAAACATGAGTTACAGTGGCTGAAACATGTTCCAGAGGAGTGTGCTCTGAACCTGCCAAGCAGCACCACAGGTAAATAGCCTTTTAAAGGAACTGCATCTCGGCGGAGAACATTCATGGGAATATGAAAATGCTGAGGTTCAAACTGTCTGTCTTCATTTGGGTTCCCCCAGAAGCAGACCCTGACCCAAAGATTTATTGCAAAGAGACTTGGAATAAGATCCCAGGAAATATCTGTAGGGGGATGGAGACTGGGGACAGGCGTGAAGCTGGAGCCAAGAGAACACCTTTGTGGGAGACTGTGTTTCAGCCTCCAGGGGGCAGTGTGGTACACATCTCAGAGATGACTGAAGAACTGAGAAATCTGGGCTGTTTCAAGCACTAATTCCCATTAGATGAGAACTGCTCTGAGGATATTAATTCCCCAGCATTTATAGCCTACCTGACATCGGGCCAAGCATGTTAGCTTGCCAGAGGAAGCCCTTAGAAAACCACAAGTTCTTGTAGCATGAAGTAGTTTCCTGAACCACCAAGTCCTCAGGGTAAGGGACATGGGTAGTGTCTCTAACTACACTTAGTATAGTATACACAAGTTCTGAATTGCAAGATGCATTCACGGAACTTAGACTCAGTCACATTTCAGCTGAGCCAAAGCAACTGCACCTGTAATAGGCTGTCTCAGCCAATACACTGCAAAAAAGAATTATGAATTTCTTGAGCTTCATTAAATGTCTGCAGTGCGCCCATACAACAGCGGGATTTCTGAACACTTCTCCAGATTTTCATTCACTCCTTTTGTACATAAGTGAGACTAGTTCCCTCAAGCAAATGAAACATGCTTATCCTCTCTTGAAACCTTGATTCCATCCACCCTTTCAGAAGCAGACCCTGCATTGAGGAATCCAGTGCAAGGGATGGGTTGAGGAAGTGCTCCCCCAAGGAACCAGGAACGGAGAGGAGGAAGCCAAGTAAGGGTGTGATGTCTGTGCAACCCCTGTCTGCAGCCTGAACCTGCAGAGAGTTCTGGAGTATAAATTACACTCTGGAGGTGCTCTTAAGACAAAGGAGGAGGGCTCTTGCATTCCTATAGTCACCCGGGATTGGCAACGGACTGGTCTGAGGGGGTGCCAGCCTCCAGTGCCCAGGCACAGTCCTCTGTGGCAAACAGGAAGAGGTTGGGAGCTGGTAAAAGGGACCCGAGGTGCTCTGGGGGGGCACATTAAGTTCACTCCTCTGTCAGATTCTTCCATTTTCTGGACGGCCACAATTCCTGGGGACAAATTTATGACAGGAAAGTTAATAGAATAAGCTAATCTCCTGTGCTGCCTTTGGACCTCAGACCGCAGGTGCTGCTCATCATCTCCCTTCCCTATCACTCTTTTAGATTCCCCTTGAGCTCTGGTGGGTACTTCTTACCCTCATCTCTAAGGAGTCTGGGCCCCCAGTTGCCATGTTTTACAAGGCCGTAGCACAGGAGTACTAAGAGATGCCCCAGTGGGCTTCCTGAGTGCCAAATGTATCCTTGCCTGCTCCCATTATACAGCAGCAACCCTTGCTTATGCCCCAGGAACTCATCTCTTTCACACCTCTCCTGACGCTATACTCCCACTGAGTTTCAGCCCAGGATCTCACCTCTTCCATGAAACCTTCCAGATGCTTGTAGACCACAGAGCTTTCTTCTCCCCCTAACTCACAGAACTTCCTGCTTATGCCTCTCCTCAGGGCTGCGTCACATTCTACGCTGTGATTCCTCATTACGGGATTTTTTTGACTTTGGACAGTGTCATTGGGTTGACGTCTGAGTGTATGTCTTGTCTTTCCAGTGGGAACCTGACCAGTGGTTACTGGTACCTCCAGTGCCCTGTACAGACTGTGTGCCACCCCCGTGCTTAGTGAACACAGGTTGGATCTGCAGCTGAACAGCTTAAAGAATGGCACCTCTGCACTCTAGAACTGGAGCATGATCTTCTCATCAGAAGCCTTGCTTCTCACGGTTCCCTAATTCACTTGGCATTCAATGACACTCTCTGTCACTTAGTTCACAATTATCTTTCAAACAAGAACAACAACAACACAAAAAAGATAGCTTTGATAAATCTAACTTTTTCACATGTTGAAACTGGCCCAAACTCTTAAAAGCATATATTTTTACATAATTTATTACAAATGACTCACAGATGAAGCCATAAATTTCCCCCACCCAGAGAAATGTTCTCTTTTTTTGGCACTGTTTCAACCTTGAAGTTGACAAACCTAGTTTGTTTGGGGATAGTGAGTATTTGTGAAGAAGGCATAGAAAACATTTTCAATAATCACATAAAAAGTCAGTTTAACTTACAGTGAACACGTTTTTGGTGCCAAGAATTGCCCTAGGTATTTTATACAGACTGGTTGTCCAGAAATCTTTTTTTTTTCTCTTCTCCTTTCTGAAGCTCATATGTTGCAGTGTTTTGAGGTACAGCATAGCCTCTTGTGGAAGCTTAAAGAGAAAGGGGAAAACCCAAGTCACTTCATTTTGCAATTAATTACTTCTTCTGGGAACACTTTGCCTTGCAATTGTAGTATTTCTCTCTCTCTATTTATTATTTCTGATTGTTTCGGTCTTGTATACTCCACCCAGAAACAAAAAAAATGTATACAAAAATAGAACTAATCTTGACTATGTGACTCCAAGTACGTAATCTGTCCTCCATAAGCAGTACTGGTATGAAATAAAATATTTATATGACTATTAACAAAAGGCAAGATATATTGAATGCTTGCTGTGAGCCAGGCATTCTGTAAAGCACTTTATACACACTATCTCATTCAATACTCATAACAAGTTCCAGAAATAGGTACTGTTATTAGCCCTGTTTTACAGATACGGCCTGAGTCACTTCCCAAAGTTCGCACAGCAAGTAAGGACAGAGGCTGAGATAAGGCTGCAGAGGGTAAAGAGCCCTGGTTCTCTCCTTGGAGATGGCTCACTAAGTCATAGTCTCAGCCCCGGTCTTGCTAGCCAAGGGATCAAAAGTAAATCCCAAACTCCTTACGTCTCTGTTTCTTCGCTTATTGACTGTAACCACTGACACCCACACTGTCCATTCACTTCTGTCCACCCATCTATTTGTCTGTCTTAGAACACTTAACTCTCATTGTTTTATATTTTGTTTATAAGAGTTACTGGTGGCTCTCAAAGAGCAGAAAATATGTCATACCCATCTTCATAGTCATAGCTTCCAGGCAAAGACGATTATATAAGTGATGTCAGATGATCTGAACCTAGGTCGTCTGGCTCCAGAATTTGTGCTCTTAAGGACTATGGCATCCAAGACAGGAATCTGCTTTTCTTTTTAAACCCACGTCTGGTTCGGAGTAGGTCTTTAAATTGTTTCTATCTCCCCTTTCTCTTGAGTCTTTCACTCCTGTTTTTACTCTGTGATCTGTATTTAGTTTTGTGTAATCAGAGATGTGATTTTCATTGCACTCTGTTTTAAAAAGTCCAGGTATTAAATCTCATATATGCGTTAATATTACTTTCTCATTGATCTTTCTTAGGAGCAACAGGGAAAGAAAAAACGCCTTCCTCTAATTTTCAAGTTTTATTGCCTTAAATGTGAAGAGTAACAAAGTTTGACCACTCCAAAATATGCCAGTTTGGCACATGGATTATTTCAGACTGAAGGCAATTAAGAATGAGCAGACACAAAAATGCTCTCTGCTCTCCTCCTATTTGCCTAAAAGCAAGACATAAATTTACCAAAGTGTCTCCTTCCCCCTCTGTACCAGAAAGGACAAAAGCTAATCACCAGAGACAATTTTAGTCCCTTATCCAGCCTGGAGGCACAGGAGAAATCTACATACCAAACTGAAGACTTCCTTTCCCTCATAGTTGCTTTCACACAATTTGTTGCCGGTGGAGACCCAAAGTCCTTCTCCTTTGCCTTGTCACTTCCCCAAAAATGTCTTTCCTTGTGAAGACCAGGCTGTAAATAAAACTTGGAGTCACTCATCCCCAAGTTTCTCCAATGCATAAATAAGATAAACATGTTAATAAAACTTGTTTGTTTTTCTCTCGTTGATCTGCCTTTTGTTACAGGGCCCTGATGTGGGGCCGTGAGCTAGCTAAGGATCAAGAAAGAATTCTTGAGCAGTTTTCAGTGCAAAATGGTGCTTTTATTACAGCAGGGGGACGGAACCCCTGGGCAGAAAGACCAGCACTGGGCTTGTGAGGAGTAACTGATTATATACTTTTTTAGTTAGTGGGGGTCAGGGATAATGTTAAGTCTCTAAGGAATTTGGAAGCAAGGTTTCCAGGACCTTGAGGGGCTAGCTATCGTTAAGATAAGCTTATTTACTACTGTCTAGTGAAACATTAGTCATGAGACCCTTCTGATGTATATCAGTGGGCCATACGTTTGAAGGATGACTGCTAACATATATGGGACTGGGGGGATATTTACAGTTACCAGAACAAAGTAGCGCTAACCAGAGCAAAGCTGGTAAAACATTAAAGGAAGTGCTTGGGGTACCTGTAGGAGAATCCTGCCTGGGGACTACGAGCCACAGAAAAGTCTGGTCTTTGTTCCATTTTCTCCCATCAAGCCCTAGCTGAAAATCTAGAAGGGTAGAAATAAAAATATCTTCTTCCTCCCCTAAAAATGCAAGGTCATAATCTTACACAGTTCCAGGAGGAATGTAAGTAACGTAAAAGATACAAGAATATGAACGACTATAGATTTTGCCTCTTAGACTATGAGAAGTCCAGGCTTTAGATAAAAATCAACACAAATCTAAAATAAACAAAACACTCACCATGAGCATTAGGTCCCAGATATGCTAATTTTGTCCTAGCCAGACACAGAAGACATATAATACATCGGACTGAAAAAGATTGTTAACACCTTAAAAAGATAAAAGTAATAAATAGTTCAAGAATAAAACTAAGTGAGCTAACATCTTAAAAAATAAGCACTCTTGGGGCGCCTGGGTGGCTCAGTCGATTAAGCGTCTGACTTTGGCTCAGGTCATGATCCCGGGGTCCTGGGATCGAGTCCTACATCGGGCTCCCTGCTCAGTGGGGAGCCTGCTTCTCCCTCTCCCTCTGCCGCTCCCCCTGCTTGTGCTCTCTCTCTCTGTCAAATAAATAAAATCTTTTTTTAAAAAAAAAGCACTCTTAATTTTTTTTAAAGGAAGTGGTAAAGTATCTGAAGAAAACTAGTCAATTAAGCATTTCCTTGTGAAATCTTAAGGTATAACCAAAGAATTTCCAAAAGAATTTCTGACAATCAAAACAACCCCCAAAGATTTCTATCAAGAAACAAAGGAGTCCAAACCTAAAATAGAAACAGATTCACTTTTTAAGGTAACTTTTATCATTTACTTAAAAAACTGCATTAGGAAATATGAAAAGGACATTCACCAGTCACCAAGTGACTACTTACCCACAAATTCTTAACATATTATGGTTCACTGTTATGGGTGTTATTACCAAAATCGTATACACATACCTTCTACCCAATTGTTTTGGGATCTGCTAGAAAGAGATGCTCTTGTGGCCACAAGCTAAACAAATTCAGAATGGAATGGAGTGGATACAAAGTAAAATGGAATAGAGTAGAGAAGAACAGAACATAAATCAAGCATATAGCTTGAAACTACAGGAGCAATAATATACAAGGTAAAAGATAAAGGATACATATACATAGATAATAGATAATAGAGAAAGAAAAAAGAAAGGAGAGAAGGAAAGAAGGAAGGAAGGAAAGAAAGAAAGGGAAGGAAGGAAGGAAGGAAGGAAGGAAGGAAGGAAGGAAGGAAG